TATTTGCCATAATTTTAAATGCCTTTTCTGATCACAATTTCAGAACTTTCTGCCTGCCTCAAGTTTTGATAGAGGACCGGGTGAGGATGGTGTGGAAGCATAGAAATTGAGTCTTAACTTGCAGGGAGGGGAGCGAGAGGGGAGTCGGAAGGGGACCAGCTCTATTCTGTGTCGCCCTTCCCTTCCTGTCCTGTTCCTAAAACTAAGGAGAACGGCCTGAGAATCTCCTGCACACGGGGGTACTCTGCCCACCCGAATCCGTGCCTCCCTCTCGCTAACTTGAGGCCGCTGAGCGCTAAGGGAATTCCTACCCCAAGGCTATCTCTTTTCCCCTCTGCCTTGGACCCGAGGCTTGGTCAGAGAAGCGAAGTGTTGTAGAAAGCGAAAGGGAGGTGGGGTAGCGAGTGGAAAGGAGAAAAGATGTCTATTACAGAGAAAACGGTTTTATCTACTAGCAGGTAAGTGCTGCGATCTGAAATCGCACTGGGTAAACAAAAAGAAACAACTTTCAGAGGGAAAAAGGGGTGGGGGGGAGAGAGCAGAAGACTAAGAAGAAAGGAAAAAGATGGGGAAGCGCGCCAGCCGCGGTTCTGGAGCCACTCTTCCTGGCATCAGTGTGAGCTACCAAGCGCAAAACTCCGCTTGTGCTGGGCAAGAGCGCCCTCACGTTGCTGCTCCCTGCGCAGCGCCCGGCTTCACCCCCTGCGGCAATCCCCGCGCTACGTCCCGAGAGCGCCTCTCCGCCCGGCTGCAGCGCAGCCCGCGCCCTTGCTTCTCTACATTGGTCCATAAACCTAAGAAAACATCGTCGCCTTGTCCCTGCCGCAAAGACTTCAAGCCCCGCCATCGTGCTACCTCTCCGACTTCCCCCAGGAGTCCCCGAGGCGCCGGGAAGGCTACTGCGACGCCGCGGCTAGAGCCCCAAGTTCGCTTCGGCCAAGCCAACCTGTGCCTGGCGCGCGCTCGCAGCCACTCGGGGACAGCCAGGCTCTCGAGTGTACACCGACATCTCCTAAGTGTACATTAAGAATCAATTATTTCCCTGAGATTTCCAAAGCCGGGATCTGGGATATTCCCAGCAGGGACAAAGCAAAGCCCAGAACGGTGCTCATTTCCCTAGTCTTTCGAAGAGGCAGAGGAGAAGCCTCCCACACGCTTAGGGCGCCTCCCTGGCCCGGGAGCAGCAAAGCTAAATCCGGCGGGGACCCTCGCCTGACCCAGGCCAAGGAGCTGGGGGCCGAGGGCCAGTTCTGCAGTAGGTTGGCAACGTTAGTGTAGAAATAAGGAGAGGAGGGGCGATCAAAATAAAAACAAAACAAAACAACTTTGGAGAGAGGCAAGTTCTTGGCTCTGGAGCAAAGAACTTTAACTCAAAATGCGGAGAGCCAATAACCCCGGGTTTGAACGTTAACTCCCATAGTTCCTACAGCAGCCTTAAGACTCAAGAAATCCTATTTCCACGCAATGAGTCACTTTACACTTTAGGACCTATTTCAGAGTCCCGCTATCTCTTCTCCATATTAATTCGTCTCGTTTTCTCTCCACGCTCCTTTGCCGCGTCTACACTCTCTTTACCTAGGGACGCACAGTGATTTCTGTCAACGTGGAAAAATCATGCATTCTTCCAGCTATGTCTGTTGGTAGCACGCCTACTAAGGAACATTTTCCAAGAAGAGACAAACACTTAAGCCCAGGACCCCAAGGTTGCGGTTTAAAGCACAGTCAAAAGAGTCAGTCACACACAATCCCCACCCCAACCCACGCCCATCCCCTCCGAAAAGCACTTTCACTTACCGGTGTTGGGATAAGAGTGCTCAAAATGTCCTCAAGTTCTTTTCCTCGGCATCTTTCGGACACCTCAGGCAGAATCTTGGGTGGAGGGAAAAAAACAGGTAGATATCGGGAGGGAGAAAAGAGATACCAAACACAACACTACATCATATATTCGCCAGCCCAGAGCCCCCTTGGCCTACACCTTCAGGACAAGGTCCCCAAGATCTGCCCGTTAGGGTGTGCGGAAAGGGTCGGTTTGGTGGCTGAAAACTAAAAGGTGGATTATTTTAACTGCCAGTGGTTGGGGGAGAAGGGACCCTGGAGGGAGAGTAGAGAAGGGGAATTATTGGGACAGGAAAAAGAAAGCCTTTGGGGGGCGGGGGGGGAAGCACGCAAAAGAAAATCAGAATGAAGTATTAACTAGGAAAGGTCGCTAGCGCCTTTTAACTCTTACAGGTAGGTTGCTCTTAGGAAGAATGCAGAATGTGTGCGCGAAAAGAGGGAATCTGGATGACCCCTATTCTTTCCACATCTACAGGATCTGGCCTCAAGTCCAGAAATAAAGAAGGGGGGATTTTATTCAAGGTTTACCTACCCTGCTTGTTGGAATGGCTGCGCGGATTCCCATGTTGGAGAGTTCCATCTGTCTGGCAGAAGCTGGAGTGGCGTTGGGGGCAGGTTATCTAGTGAAGTAGGAATGTACAGGAACCCCGCCCTCTAGGCACAGTTACACAACCCCAGCAACCCGTCTCAGCCAGCTCTAAAACCTCTAATGATCTTCACCTTCACCCTTTGTTAGCCTAATTCTCCAACAGGCTTTTAGTCTCAAACACAACCAGCCACTTCAGCTATTCATAAAATTAATTTCTCAAAAGCAAAATTTTTCAATGCATGCAAATTCCTCAACAATGTAGAAAATACACTTTTTAGAAACCACATTTATATAGCGTTCTAAATATATTGAGTTTATCCACCTATTTGGATGAAATATGCACCAACTTAAATATATATATTTAAATCAATACACTGCAAAACTCATTTTTTTGCCTCTCTGCCCTTGATTTTTATGCAAGTCATAGAAACCACATGAAGGCTTTCATGAACATAAGGATATTTGTATTAAATCTTGTTAGTTCTAGAGTTTATATCCACTTGGTTCCCAATTTTGTAACAGAAGAAACATATTTGGAAGAATCCTTCCACTGCTCTAGTTTAATCACATCATTTTCTCAGTGTTTTATATATTAATGTTTGTATTAACTTTATACCAGACAAATTCAAGTAAAAATACTTTAAAGCTGGAAATAAACTTTAATTTGGGATTTCAAGTTTTAAGTTGTGATCACTTTCAGTTCCAGAATTGCAAAAAGAACAACAGCTTCATCTCATTAAAAACAATTCTAAGTATGAAAGAAAAAAATCTTCAAAAGTTTTGAAGTTTTTCTGGCATGAGTTAATTTTAACTGGCAAAGGTTAGTGACGACAAATAACACACCATTACAACCAGTTTTATGCAAAAATGTATTAAAGGCCATGCCAGACTGTCATGCGTTTTTTGAGAAGATAACTTGAGGAATGATAGGATAGATCAAGGTAAATAAAATGTTCATATTGGGCTTCAGGAGGCCTTTCCAAACTTATCTCTCTGTGTATCTCCCTTCATTTCTAGAATGCCTAATAAACAAACTTCTCACCATATCCATTATATATGTAACTTGAACATGTGTTCAAGCAGAACTTCAATGCCAGTACTTAGTTTTTATGAACTCTGAGAAGTTGATTTAACTCTAGACTTCAAAGTACAAAGTTTGCCATTGAAATTCTATTTCTCTATCATCCAAGTAAACACTTATAATCATGAATAAGTATAGTTATTTAATGTGTCCAGAAAAAAATACTTATGCAGGAAATCTTTCTTCTGTATCTACATACCTTTACCTCAGTATAAGAATTCAACTTTCTTTTTAACTTTTGGTAGGCAAAATACTATCTTTCTCCTGTGTTAATTCATTCTACAAATAAAAGCCATGGCAAAAGCAAATAATAAATCATCACCTTTCCTCAGCTTAAACACATGCCTTTCTTTGAGCTATTTTGGTTCACAAACATGTAATGGGGATTTCCTTTGCTTAACCTCATTCACTTGGATTCTATTATCATTTTTAATATCAGCCATGAATTTGGCTTTTATAACCATAATTTGTAAAATTTTCTTTTATGTTTCATTCTGAAGAATTGTTAAATTCCAAGAAAACTTGGACCTCTGGTGAAACTCTTCTCATACTAAGAAAATAAAATCAAGTCTGGTTGCTTAAAGGAGATAATTAAACTAGCTGTCTTGGTCTATTTTTGTCCATTCCCCATTTGTGTATATTTGGTTCCAGCTCTTTTAATTTTCCTGGCCCTTATATTTCTGTCATTCTTAGGTGTCTCTGTATCTCTCTCCATCTTTCTATCTCTATCTCTCCGCTTCTTTCATTCATTCTTTTTGGTGGTAGGTGATCTTTTTGTTCAGCACAAAAATATCTCTCTTTCTCTCTCTCTCTCTCTCTCTCTCTCCCCCTTTCCCTCTCCCTCCCTCTGCCTCTTCACCCACCCCCTATTTTCTAATATTAACTATACCACATTTCAATTTCAAATCTATTTCAGTCAGTTCGCTTCTCCCCTAGGCTTTTTTCTTTTTTCCTGAGCAACTCTCTAAGTGTTTGCCGATAACATCTTAGGGACAGATTATTTTTCATTGGGCCCATTGTAAGAAGTAGCCAGCTTATTGCATTACTGCAGAACACATTTCAGACTATACAATTGTAACAAATGAACAACTTGTCCTCCACAGACTCACCACAGGATCCAATTAGTTACTAAATCTTTACTCAGGTTTTCTAATTATTTTCTGAAATTATACAATTGGGCTGCCTGAAACAATTCAAAAAATGTCTTCATTTTTTTCACATATATATGCATATACAGTATACGCATACATATGCATATTGCAAGTTAAAACAAAATTATGACTCAATGTAAGCAAAAGGAACAAATCTTTTGATTAAATCATACACACATTTTAAAAGGGAATCAAATACCTCCACATTGTAAAAATAAAAGAGAGAGAGAGAGGCATTTTACTTCTTCTGCATATCTAGAATTTTAAATTGTGATACTTTAAAAATAAAATATAAACATTGATCTGCAAGTCATTTACAACAGGTGATCACTTCAGCAAAATCTATATTGCAACTTCAGCACATCTTTATTAGAACTCTTTCATTGTGGGTAAACAGCCACAAAAATAAATGCTGACTTAGAAAGTATAAATACAAATATTTAAACAAAAATGTCTGCAGCATTCATAGCGCAAATTGTACCTGAACTGAAGGGCTCTGTGTTTCTAATATATATTACATATGTGTCCATTATATTCACTTCTATCTAACCATATACATATATTTATTTATAATTTGCCAAGTGCTATTAACAAGATACCTGAAACAAAATATATAAAAAGTAAGCATTCTATTAACTGATTTGAAAATAAAGACAGAGTAAACATCTATGCACATAAAATTAAATTATATCTCTTTTTGCTGCATATCCACCAAGACTTAAAGATACCAGCCGAAAAGCCTATGCTTTGTTTAAAGCTAGTGTTTATTAAATAGCCTGCTCCTTGTAAAATCTGTTCACACAGGAGGGAAATGCTATTTTCATTTTTAGAGTCTCAGTTCAAATTAAAGGAGCAGTTTAAATTTTAGTTTGGCTCAAAAAGCCTTTGAATTCCCTATAACTTCAATGGTCACTTAAAAATTAGCTCTACTTAATAAAAGAGACAAAAGTATCAAGATATATATGAATTTAGCCTATTTTTATTTCTGTGTGTTCATAGTAAACATTTTTGTAAGTGACAAACACGGGCATATGACCACAGTATCACAATCAAGAAATTTTAAGACAACATTAACAATCACTCAAATTTATGCGGCATTTGCGCAACACAGGTTACATATTTGCAAGGTTTACCTATAAGTACAATAGGTATTAACATTTCACTACATTTAGAAAAAATAAAAGTGACCTGTTAGTGACCACATACATCAAAATATACACAACACAAACTGAAGGCAATCTTTAATTTTGTCCCCTTCCAATTCAATTGAATGGGCAGTGTTGCCAACTGAAACAACTTTCCTTTTTGTTTGTTTAATACTTAGTATACCAAGTGCATTTTCTAGAACCCAATCTTTGGTCTAAAAGTAAACAAAAGAAAAAAACAGTTCTTTAAAGAAAAGGACAAAACAATAAATGGCCAAAATAATTTCTTGGGCACCTTTACTACGAATGCTTCTTAAATACAAATTACAGTTTAACATTTTAAAACTCTCCCCATAATTTAGGTTGTTCTCAAGGTCTGCGTCCACCATATAGATCCATGATAACTTATAATACTGCACACATGGAATTCTGGCGGCTCTTAAGAGATAGACTTGTCAGGTTTGAATGAAATGGCAAAGCAGTCACTATTTAGATACACATTCTACTATAATTTTGACTTCCAAACCTTATATTCTACAATGTATTCTTCCCACATTGCACCTCGCTGACACTCCACACCTTGTTAGAATAATAAACAACCCTAGAGACTGAACAAACGTACAGAAATTGGGGGGGGGGCTTAATAAAAAATACCTGGACTTATCTTTTAATTATCATTTACAATGCAAATGTGTGTAAAACGTTCACTTACAGTCTGGTCCCAGGGATGTTAATGTATTAAAGGGTTGGAAGAAGACCCCTGATTTTGATGTGTGAAATAATCAGACAGTCCACCGGACAGTCCCGTCGTAAAACTTGGCAAAGAGGGTCTTAAAGACTCACAGGGCAGGGTCGAGGGGGCCTGCGGCGACGTGGAGGAGGACGCGGCCCTGGCGCTCATGGACGTGCTGCTCTGCGAAGTCATTGACGGGTGCGGGACGTGGGGGAAAAAGTAACTGGTCTGGCCCGCGAGCAGGTTGACGGAGCAGGGGTTGAGGGAGTAGGTCCCGGAGCAGGGCACCGACAGGCCGCAGGGCACCGAGGCGGCGAGCGCGGCGGCCGTGAGGTGGTGCGTGGCGTAGGGGATCTCCCCGTTGACCAGCCGGTCCACGCTCAGGCCGTTGGCCGTGGAGAAGGAGTGGTTGTTGCCCAGCGAGTTCTGAGTCAACACGGAGCTGTAGGGCATGGGGTGGCTGGGGTAGGCCGACGTGGTGCCATTGTAACTCAAAGTGCTGCTGGCGCGGGGGTGGTGCAGAGACAGGAAGGGCGACATGGGCCAGTAGAGGGAGCCGGCGCGGTCCATGAAGGTGAGGCCGGTGGAGGTGAGGCGCGCCCCGCGCTTGAAGGCCAGCTTGGCCCGCGACGTGGTGGAGCGGCGCCGCAGCTTGCCCGTGGTGCCGCCGATGAACACGTCGTCGCTCGACGGGTCCAGCATCCAGTAGTTGCCCTTGCCCGGGTCGTCGTAGTGGCGCGGCACCTTCACGAAGCACTTGTTGAGGGACAGGTTGTGGCGGATGGAGTTCTGCCAGCCCTGCTTGTTCTCGCGGTAGTAGGGGAAGTTCTTCATGATGAACTCGTAGATGCCGTTGAGCGTGAGCCGCTTCTCGGGGCTCTGCCGGATGGCCATCATGATGAGCGCGTTGTAGCTGAACGGCGGCTTCTCGTACTTGCCGTTCTTCTTCTCGCCCTCCTTGCCCCCCTCCCCGTCCTTGCCGCCCTCGCCCGCCCCCTTCTTCTCCTCCCCCACGGCGCCGGCGCCCTTCTCCTTCTCCTCGGGCCCGACGGGCGCCAGCTCCCCGGGCCCGCCGCCCGGCTCGCCCTTGCCGCCCAGCGCGTCCGCCTTGGCCCCGTCCAGCGCGGCGGCCGGCGGCTGCTGCTGCGGCGGCGGCGGCGGCGGTTGCGGGGCCGGCGGCGGCGGGTGGTGGTGGTGGTGGTGGTGGTGGTGGTGGTGCTGGGGGTGGTGGCTGTTGTGGTGGCCGTGGCTCGCGTGGTGGTTGTCGTTCTGGACCGCCTCGGGCACCAGGCTGTTGATGCTGAACGAGGACTTGGGGATCATTTTCACCTCTTTCCTATCTCCCATGTCCAGCATCACCCAGTCGTCGAGGGGAAACGGCAGCGGCGGCGCGGGAGCGGGGCAGCGGCACGGCGGGCGGCGGCGACCGGTGGGTGCCGAGCGGGGCGCGGGGGGCGCGGGCGGCAGCGGCGGCACTGAGCGCTCCGGCAGCAGCGCAGTTGGACCGCAGGCTCGGGCGCTGGCAAGTCATGTAGCAAAAGCAGCAACCACCCCTCAGGAATTAGAAAAAAAAAAAAGAAAAAGAAAAAAAGAAAGAAAGAGAAAAAAGAAACAACCACCGCCCCGGGGGTGAAGCTCCCTCGCTCCCAACTCTACTTCTCGGTCTCCCCCCCACCCCCCGCTCCCCCCCCCTGCTGCTTCCTCCTCCTCCTCCTCCTCTTGCAGCAGCAGTCACAGCAGCAGCAGCAGCAGCCCAAAGGGGGGGAGAGCCGGGCGGCGGGCGGGCGCGTCCCGGAGCGGCCGCGGCGAGGCTGGGGAGACAGCGATCGAGGCGGCTATAGCCACAATTAATTTTCCGAGCTACAGGCGCACACTAGGGCTGTAAAAAAATTTTTGGTTTAACCTTTCCTACCGCTGGGCCAATCAGAACCGGCGGCGTGCGGGAACGTCTCTCTCGCCGTCGACCAATCGGCGGGGCCGGGCCCACCCACCCCCGCCCCGCCCGCTGGCTCCCGCCCCCTGGGCGCTCGCCGCCCCCTCTCCGCGGGCCTCGGGCCTCGGACCTCGCGGCCGCGCAGGGATACGCCGGCGGGAGCTCGCCGCGCCGCGGCCCTGCTCCGCGCCCCCGCCACCTCCTCCACCCGCCGGCCCCGCTCAGCCCAAATCCCCTTCCTAGGGCAAATAGCTCACATTTCCGGCTTCCTTCTCATTGTACTGGGTCATTTTCGTTTGGGCGCCAATATTTGTCCTTAGAGGTTAAAGTTTGTATCCGTTTTATTTTTAAAAGCGGGGGTGGCGGTGGTGGGAAAAGTGGGGGTGCAGGGAGAGGATGCCAGGAGAGGGCAGGGGATGGAGAAGGAAGAGGCGAGGCACTACTTTTCCGAGTCAGGCCTCGAGTCTGGCATTTCTGAGCCTATAGGAAAATCGTGCCCCTTGTAGGTAATATTGCAGCAAAGCTTTGGGTTTGGGGGAAGAGAAGGCCCACTGCTGGCCTGTGCGTGTGCGCGCGGGAGGGGGTCCTGTACCTTGGGGGAGGAGGGTCTGGGAGAGGTTTGGGAACTAGGGGATGAGAAGGAGGAAGTGGGTAGGCGAGTTCGGGCCAAACAGGGGTTACTTACTCTATTCCCGAGGCCGGGGCTGCGGCTAGTTCGGGCTCAGGAGCCGCAGGGAAGCAGGGCCTGGGGCTCCAGGTGCTGCGGCGGCGGCGGGCGGGGGCGGCTCAGTGGTGGGCGCCTCTGATGGCCTTCCGAAATGAGAGGTGCCCAGAGAGAAAACAGTACCAAACAATCTCGAAATAAATCAGGTAACACATGCTATATATGTGTTTCTCTTTCTTCTCCCTTCTCTCCGGCTCCAGACAGTCGCTCACGCGCGGGGTGACTCGGTGTCGTTTTCTCCTCGTCGCTCTTGCTTCTCCTCAGCTTCTAATCCGAATTGGAAGCGGGTTGCTTCGAGCGATCACCCTGGAAATATTTTCCTTTTGCTTGTTGACATTGGAGGGAAAATAGGGTGGGCGTCTATTTCTTTCCGGGTTTTTTTTTTCCGCCTTCCTATTTTCACTCCCTTTTTTCTCTTTCTGTTTCTCAAATACTTTTATTTTGTGCGGGCCTCAATTCTGAAATAACAATATGCTGAAGCCAGCCCTGCCCACTCTGAGTGCTGCTGGAAGGCACCTAGGAGGCTTGGGAATGTGGATCCCACAATCCCAGCTTCTTGGGCTTTGGCACTGGGAAGGTTCGGTTGAAGGTTGGAGTGAATGGAGAGATTGCGAATCGGGGGCTTTAAAAGGATCCCGTGGCCAGGGGCAGGGCTAAGGCCCAGCATTTCCCAGGGATTGGAATTTAGTGGGGAGCACACTGATCAAAGGCTGTTTCATCCCACATGGGCACAAAACATACCACATTTTACGGAGGATGTAGCCTGAGAGAAGAGGGAGGTGGAGGAGAAGCATAAATAAAAAGCACCTTTCCCCTCCTCTGTAAGGTAAATAATTATAAAATGTAAGCATTTCTTCACTTTGATAAACTCTCAGTTAAATTATCTTGCAGATTTGGTATTCAAGAAAATAGAAGAAGGAAAAATGGTGCCTATGATGTTAAATTCTAATATAAAGAATGCAATTGATGAATACTCAGGATAATGGGAGGTTATTCCACTCTCCCCACCACCAGTGTTAGAATTCAGAGAGAGAGAGAGACAGAATATAAACTTTGGAGAGAATTATAAACAGATAATTATAAATAGGTAATTAATTTAAAATATGCATCTATTAGGAATGCCACAAAGGAGCTTTGACTATTAGGTAGACTAACCTCAAATATCCTTCCCCTGTATGTATCTTGTCCTATGTCTGCATATCTCGTTACTTTAAACTATATTTACATGTGGAAAAATTCCAGGATTCCAGCAATCTGCGTTGATAGTGACATGGCCCCAAACATTGATTTCTAAGCTCAGGATTTCTCACAGAGCCGGGTGAGCTAATGGGCTTTGCCGACCGGCTGGAAAGATCTGTGGGCCTTCCCCTTCCTGCTCACTTTTTTCTCCTCCCACTCTTTTCCCCTCCTCAGGCCGGTTCTTCCTACTTTTTCCTCAACTCTCTCTTTCCTCCCTCCTCCCCTCTTTCTCCCTCCTTCCCCCCTCATTCCTCCACCCCTTCCCCCTCCCTCCATTCCTCTCCCTCTCTCCATTCCTCCACCTAACCTACTCCTCCCAATTTCAACCCACCGCAGCCCCCCTTCTTACCACCACTTATAATGGCACACAGGGCCCCTCTGAGGTGGACGGCCCGGTACGTTTTCGTAGTCGGTCTAGCGTGAAATGATTCGGTGTAACCGGATTCTTGGGAAAGGACAGGTTACGTAAACATTTACTGATGTGGAGTAACTATACTATTTGTACTCTGATATGCAGGAAGGAAAGTGTTGATTAACACAGAAGAAAAAAAAGCGAAATTAGCTGATTGCATGCTCATAAGTGCAAGCTGTCATTGAACTGCTTTTAAAATAGACACAGCTGGGTGTTTGTGTTGAAAAATTTCTTGTGTTTTTGCTAATACTGAAATAAGCATGATTTTGTATACCAAACATTTTCAGATCATTAAAATTTGTAATCTGTGCTGGTTTTAAACACAAAGAAAAGAAACAGAATCATTTCGATGTAAAATTTGCTGATATTATATTAACTCAATCAGGTCTGTACAAATTGTGCATTGTGCCTCCTAAAATCTGTTTGATCAATTTAATACACAAAGTGCCAAACGTGGGTATTGTTTGTTAACATTGGACATTTTATTCAAATCCGAGCTCTGCAGCAAACTGGAGGAGCATTCCTTGAATACAACACCATCTCTGACTGATGAATTTTTAATGTTTTAAGGTGTTTCTTAGGTCAAAGCTGAGTGTGCAGTTGTTTTGTGATTTTGTATAAAATTTTAGCAGGTGAAAATAAGTTCTTTTGTTTACTTTCTAGCAAAAACTTGGGTTTGCTAATGAGAGCTGTAATAATCTGATTTTATATGCCAGGAGCTCATATTGACCAGGAAAATGTTTTGCATTCAAATTTGGAATGTGCTATATTATTTTAAAAATTGTCTGAATGCAAGTCTCTCAAAATAGGACATTTTAATAGGAATAAATAGTATATAGTTTAATATAATAATATTTAAAAATCTAGTCTTCCTAATGACACAGGTTATTTGCAATTTGGGAAGAAGTGAGTTTGAATTCCTTCTAATAATTTTAATTGCACTTTATGGTGAGTTAAGGTGATATATATATGATATATACATATATATGACTTGTTCAACAAAGCATGCACTGTTTACTTGGCAGCCCACGTTTGTCTCAGCAATGGCTTGTTTTTAGAATTGCTACTAGCTGAAATGGAGGGGGAGGGGGTTCCTGGACAGAGTATTGTGCAAGTTGAAAGTCCCTGGATGGGGCTTTGTATCTCCTACTGGCCAATTTGGGTGCAAATTGGATTTAAATGCCTGCCCTAGTCCACCTCAGGCCTCTTCTGTAAGTACATGAAGCCCTATTTCCAGCCCCTTCAGTCTCTGTGATTACCTTTAGAAGACAGAGGGCATACAGTTGTCTCTGACTTGAAACAAATTCTCTACCATTCTGGTTTTTTTTTCCCTCATAATCAATTTAACCTTGATCTCTCACACACAGACATCTACAAATGTGCACTGTTAACAAATAAAGCAGAAGTCAGAGCAAATGTAATTTTCTGGTATATATGGTGGTAAACTTCTCTCCTGCTCTGTCTGCACCCCCCCCCCCCAAAAGAGGACAGGCCTTGTAAAGACTAGGCAGTTCCAATGGAAGAATTGCTTGGGATATGAATTAGATTATTCCTTTTGGAGTTTTAATTAATAATCAAGACTCCACGGCATCTAAATAGGCAGCAGCACATTTCATTTTTCCATTTGGCGGTATTACATTAAGTCTTCCGTAGGGCCTATTTCCCGCTTTTGGTCAGCGCTTCTCTTCTCCTGGTTACTTACTTGCCGGTTAAAGAAAGGCGGGCCATATTTACCTAAAATCCACCCTGCTCTCCGCTCCCTGGACAGGGTGTCCTTGGAGGGCGCCCAGACTCTAGCTAAAGCTCTCTTCCTGCAGATGCACAGGTAATTTCTGACCTCGTGACGTTTGGCAGCGAGCGGATCCGGAGCAAAAGCATTCAGGTATTTCCAGAGGACGTGTGGCGAGCGAGGTCGACCCTCGCCCGAGCCAACTCTTCTGTAATCTTTTCCTAACAGCAGGTAATGGTGCTAACATTTAGTGATTAGAAGTTACTCTTTAGCGTGTTGTATCCTTGTTCTGTGGGTTTTGGTTACAGGTTATACGATTAGGTTTGCGAGAACAGTAGTGAACTAAACTTCCCAGTAAGAGGTCTTCACACCAGGGAAGTGTTACTTTTCTGCAGCAGCCCTGCCTCGTCACTCATTAGGGAGCTGCAGGTTGTCAGCGACTGCTCTCAACGCACGCGCGCGCGCACCCTTAACATCCCCGGAGGCGCGCACATTCGCGCGTGTACACACACACACACACACACACACACACACACACACACACACACACAGCACTAAAACTAAATTAAGAAGCCGATGATTAAGACAAGCGTCTACTAGGCCTGTCATTTCAGCATCCTTCCATCATAACATTGTGGCACCGGCAATTTTGCTTGAGAACCTCGAGAAAAAAAAATCTATGGGAGAGCCTCGTGTATGAGAGTGGAAATGTTTAACTTGTATAAACTAGGGAACGAACCACTTCGAAAGCGAGAAAGTCCAAGGTTAGAAAAGGAGCGGGAGGAGGAGGTAGGGAGGAGGAAGAGGAGGAGGAGAAGGCCTGGACAGAGACCTCTAGGACTCTCCAGGCGAGTCTGTGTGCCGCTGCCAGGTGTTCAGGCTATCTGAAGACAGCTACATACACATCCAAAGGAAAAGTGCTGTGACGTTCAGCAAAACGAGCACCGGAGAAGATTCCTCCCAACGTTAGCCAGAGGAGAGCCAGGCGTGGAGAGATCCATGACAAATTACCTCCCAAGGGCCAAGGAAGCTTTAGTCTCTTGAACAACTTCTCAGTCGAGTACTCTGCACATCTTTCATAAACATAAAATGCCCACTACCCCTTATTTGCCAGCGTACTCTGGACCTTCCAGGGTGGGCGATTTTCACAAAGAGTTTAATCCCTGCTGGTGTGAGGGCAGGTTTGTTCCATTTCTAGATTGGATCCAATTGGAAGAAATGATCCCACACCGCCCTGGCGAACTCTGAGAGGTGAAGTCCTATCTTTTCTTTAGTTGCCCAAGAAAATGGTGCAGTCCATCCTTCAAAGGAGTCAGGGAAAGCTCAAGAGAAAGACAAACGAGTTGGAGGGATGGTCGTCAACTAGAATGAGGAAGGCTAGAGCTTAGGTCCTTAGTTTAACCCTTAGTTTTAACCTTTTCCACCCGAAAAAGAAGGAAATGAGACTTAGCAAAAGCCAGCACACTAAACAATGCTACCTTGGATTTTCCATCAGTGGAGCAGCTAAAGAGAAGAAAAGGAAAATGACTTCTTAAATACATATCAAGCTGAAAAAAATGCTTAAAGGTCTCAAAATGCTTAGCTCCTTAGAGCCTCAGCTCCTAACTATCCCATCTTTTTCTTAGTTAGTTGGAGCTTCAATGTGATTTTTAGTAGGAGCCTGAATAATCTACTTTGGAAAGTGATATAGGACCCTTCTGAGAATGCGGAGCACCAAGTCTTCTCTATTTTGGAGCACCCTTCCAAATGGTCCCCAGACTCCAGTTCTGTGAGGAAAGATGGAACGGTGTGCCTCTGTCGCAACTAATAGGCGGTCAGCTCAATAACTAAACCTACACAGAAAGCACTGGACACCCCAGAGTCCGCATATGAGATTGATAAGTAGGTTATAGGAAATGATTGCTCCCACTGAAAGTCTGTGAAGGAATGAGAGGAGAAAAATGCACCAGTGGCGGTGCGCAGGCCAGAAGGCACAAAGAGAGTCCCCCCTCTCTTTGGAAAGTCATGCGAAAGAAAGTAAACTATTTGCTAATCAAATACATCTGCTTCCTTTCTAAAAACCTTCATGGACAAGCCAGTGGTCTAGTTGTTACTTTGTGCTCATCTCACACCCACTTGCCTCTTCACCTCCAGAGTCTGTTCTGTAGGTCTTTCCCACCTTCCCTCCCCAACCTGAGGCAGTGGAAAATCTTTGAAGCAGCCGTTTCTTAAAAGGTTCAGCTCTTCTCCCTCCTCTGCCAGCCCCCTCGGGGCCGTAACTGCGACGGTTCCCGGCAGCAAAGCCGCGGAGCTCGGGCTGCCAGGCCTGCGCACGCCAGTCCCGGCGCACGCCCGCGCGCCTGCCCCGCGCTCCTTTGTTGCCGACGCCTGTAGAGCGCGATCAAGCCAGAGGCCTTGCTTCTAGGTTTCGTCTCCAGATTTCCCCCCCTTAAAGTTGCTTTTTCAGCTTAGATGTCTCATTTTTGGCACATCAGACTGGATGCACACACACACACGCACACACACACACACACACAGATCAATATTTTAGGGATAAGAGGTCATTTGCCATGGCGAACTCGGGAGGAAACAAGAAAAGAAAGCAGTTAAAGGTTTCCAGCTTGTACTGGTATAAAGCACAACTCAGAGTTAAAAGACTGGGGTGTGTGCAGGTGACGTTAATTCGAACATTCAATCACATATAAGGGGTATTGAACCCAGTGGGAGAGAGCAGTGATAGCCCCGTATCTTTCCGCTCTTTGGAGGGAGCCGCAGGCGGGAGGAGAAGAGCGGACAGACTAAGCTAGAAGCACACGGCGGCGTCAGGAACAAGTTACCGTTATCCTGCGAAAAACGAAACCCCTCCTTTTCAGAATCAACAACAACAAAGGTGGGGGGGGTCACTTTTATTTTAAAAACAATTCTAGATAGATTCTTGTTCACCAATTTTAGTATCTTCCTTCTAGGTTTGTCCTAAGGCACGCAGGAGAGAAAGTAACGTTCAAGAAGAAAGCTGGGTCGGCAAGTTTGGCTCCCGAGCGTGTGAAGTATGAATCACCACGGTGCAAAGGTTTTCTTTTTTTCTCACCCTCTTCTTTTCTCCCGGGGCGTGAACTCGTTAGAAAAGACAGACGAGGCTACGAGGAAATGGAAACGCTGGAAGAGCCCAGCTCCTTTCGAGAGCAGCCTGCAGGGTTGGCAGGCGGCTGCGGCGCGCCGAGGCGCGCGGGGCTGTCTCCGGAGCCGTCCCGGCTCACGCCTGCGCAGCCGCCTTTGGGCCAGGCGCTGCGCTCGCTCGGATCGCTGCCTTGGCAGTCTACCCTTTGGCCTTAGAATAAACACCCCCAAAGACGAGAGAAAGGCCCCTAATTGAGCTGAATATCTGCTCTCCAGCTCCGAACACAAAACAGGGCCTGCAGGTTTTCCTAGAGGAAGTTCCGAGACCACAAAACAGTCGGAGGGTGGGAGACACGAGATTTTAAGGAAGTCTGGAATTAACATGAAACATTATTTTCCTAATTAATTAAAAGTAATTCTCTTTCCCAATTTATATGCATGTACACGCTATCGATTACACGCCCCTATTTACTCGGGGAAAAAATGCTTAGAGTATCTTTGGTACACACTGCTCATTCTTTGTCCTCTGGAACATTTACAGCTGATAGTGTGGCTGGTTGGGATCAATTAGCACTGGATTTTGCCCCAGGATTGCTCCCCAGGGCGGACAAATGGAGCCAACTCATCTCCAGCGACTTTTTTTTTTTTTTTAACCTATGTGCGTATCCACGCCAGGGCTTCCGAAGCAGTTCAAAATCCCCAGCCTTGGTTTCACTTGATTTTGTTGTTGTTGTTATTGATAAATATTGGGTCATACACAAGCCACTTGTCAGAGCCTTTGGCAATGTCTCGCAGCTGCACTCCTAGCGGGGCGTTTGAATCTTGTCCTAGGAACTGGAAAGATTTACTGGGAAAAGAATAACACATTCTCTGCGTCAGTTTCGGAGATGGTCTCTTAAGAACATCCGTCCTGTCTGTTTGCTGTCACATTTATTTTTTGATTTGTTCCTATACGTGAATAACTGAGTAGATGTGTGCGTCTTGTTTTCCTATTTTTGAAAATTATCGAAGAGGTCTAAAAAAGGGGTGGGGGGAGGAGGAACTATTGATCCCAGTTCCTTAGGTATATTTGAAACCAAAAGGACATAGGCGAATTGCTAATTGTTGTAATTGCACTAGGGCGAGACACTAGGATGGGTTGGTAGGTAGGGCGTTGGGGATTTTGTAATTGGAGTAATATATACAGTTTATCTTTTGGCTGTGCTGTATATATTCTTTCCCTTGATACATATTGCACATGAATTGAACCCATGGTCTACTTGTCTTGGCATGTTTGAAGCCCCAGACACCCAACAGTATCATTACAGGAAAGAGACAAAGCCCCTAAAGACTCCAGGCAGGGAGGCTGCAGCCTTTGGGTCCAATGGGGAGTTTATCCTGGCGTTGAACTTTTCTGGGAAACGCACCCACTCGCTCAGACTCCCTTACCGCGCAGAGTTCAGGTCTTCCCCGCGCTGAAGTGCAGGGAGGGGGTGTGGAAAAAAACAGCTGATTTTTGACATTTCAAAGGAACTCTTTCTATTTATCAGTGTTACCGAAGTGTACGTTACTGCAGAAACAACAAAACAAGCATAGAGCTGCAATTTTCAAGAAAATAGGATCCCCAAATATAAAAATAAAAAAGTAGCAGATAAGATGTATAATTCAATCAAATTACACAAAATTGCTTGAAAATCCAGAACAGTAGCGATCCATTATGCCTCTGTTTTATTAGTGACAAGTACAATTACTCTAAAATAAAGAACACTGGTGAATATATAATTGGCTGTAATCATGTTAGTGTTTGAATAAAAATGACGGGAACATTTAACACTTTGACAACAAAATGTTCAGAAATAACTTATTTATTCAAACAGTTTTTATTTTCCACCAAGTGAAGGAGAAACACAGTTTGCTTAGGAAAATCAATGACTTTTCCATGCAATAAATAAATATCCAAAAGGGGAAAAAAACAGCCCCACACCTCTATATTATTACTACTATTATTTTTAACCAGCAAGCAGCTCAATCCTGTGTTTGAAGCCGGCTCTCGCATAGCGGTTGTTCGGAGCCAAAGTCCGCCACCTAGAGGAAGAGCTCTGCAGCTCAACCCAACGCCAACCCCTTTTCCCGCGGTGACCTCAGGAAATCAAAGTTAATATTCCTTTGCAAATTGCTCTCCAAACTAACTCCCCTCCCCCATCGCTCGCACCCCCTTCCGCCCTGCAGCGTCGGCACGGTATTTTCTCAGCTATCGCTCGCACGAGCGACCGCAGCGCCCAGGCTCCGGCGGCGCGGAGCTCTCCCAGGAAAGCGTCAGGGCGCGTTGGGGAAGCAGGTCGGGGCACGCTTGGTTCTGGAGAAGACAGTCCAGTCTCACCCAGAGTGTTCTAGAGCAGCCCGAATCGGGGTCTCATAAAGTGACAGCTGATGACGACATCAGCACATTCTAGTGCTTGTTTGGGGCTTTCCCGGAGGAAACAGCCTGGATCCCGCTGTCGACCAGTTGGTGCCACGGGGACTTTTCCGACTTTTCCCCCCGTCCACACCCTCACCCCCTACCCACAAAAGGGAGATCTGAGATCCGGGCTTTACCTAATCTTGGAACCCAGTGGGCCCTTTTATTTTCCTAGGCGGGTTGCATGAAGAACCGAGTTGAAGGTATAAAGGAGGAGGCCGAGTTTGGAGGGTCCCCCTGTGACCAGGCAGACCGGCCGATCCAGGGTTTTTACACCGAGCCCTCCCCGGAGTGTCAAAAAACTTCTGTAGCGTGCGGGCGAACCTGGGGCTGGATTCGGAGGCGCTAGGAGACTTTTCGTGTCTTAGTTTTGGTGGGTTTCATGGGGCTCCTCATAAAAAAACCAGCCTCACTCCCCGATCTCGCCTGGCTGCTCTCAAGCAGATCTCGGGGATGGGAGATGCTGAACGAGTGAGGAAGGGGCTACGGAAAGAGATTTAGCGGCGTTCCCTGTGCGCTCGAGGTCCGGCCAACGCTCGTGCGGCCGACTCCGCCGAGACCCCAGCGCCGGCCCTCCGGGCATTTCTGCCGCCCCGCCGTGTCCGAAGTTTTGTTTTGTATTGTTTTAAGGTGCCTGGAACTCTGTTCAAGATAAAGATTTTCTAGAAAGGCGAGGAAGGAACAAGCGAGTTGGATTCATTTTGGAAAAATAAAAAAAGAGTTTGATTAATAATCAGACTTCAATTAGGTTTCATTTCTTCTCTTTTTTCCTCCCTCCCTTCTTTCCCTCCTTCTTTCCTTCCTTGATTTCTTACTTTCCCCTCCATCTTCTATTCCCTCCTCCCCCTCATTCTCTATCTCTGGCTATTTCCTTCCCTCAGGGTTAGAGAAAAGCAGCAGCGTGGAGGTGGTGGAGGTGACAGTTTTTGGTCCTCGTCCCCAACCTCCTTCACTGTCAGTTCTTAGTCCCAATGCCGGAGTTTGAAGGAGGCATCCCAGAGATGATTCTTCTCCTTCCTCCCAGAAGGACCTCAGAGCCATGGACTAAGAAGACCTTTCCATACTGCAGAAATTCCTTTTAAGGTAGTTGAAATAAATATATATTTAAAAAATAAGCCTCTAAAACCTATTTCCCAGCACATGCTTCTCCAATGGGGTGAGGCACACCCCAAATCCACTCCACCCCTAGGAGCTTAAGTCCTCAGAAATGTTTGGTTTTGTTTTATACAAAACCAGCGCCTCCACTCTCATCTCTTAGGTCTACCATTCCCTCCCGCATTATATTAACGGGCAATGTTAGCCTTCCCCTACGTGTTTAGGCTGCTAATGCCGGCCACTTAACGCCACAAAAATGCTCATCTGTGGAGATTTTCCCAAGGCTAGCCACAATGTTGGCTCCTTTTTCTTTCTTTTCTTTTCAGGGCACGTCCATTCCTCCCTCCCCCCTTCTTCTTTTCCTCAGATGGGGACTAGAAGAGGGGTCCAACAACTTTGAGTGAGTGTGTGAAGTTTCCTCCCCCTTCTCCTGCCTGCCAATCCACCAAGAGGGGTGGTGAAGTTTTGGTTTTCCCTTGAGAGCAGGAATATCTGGAAGCTTCAGCTGTAGCTTGGTTGCCTCTCTCAATTAACTTGCCTTCATCTGTCCTTCAGTCACACTCCTCCTTTCTCTCCACCTCAGTCTGTGGGAGCAGTTCAGCATTGTCCTCACAGCCAGCTCAGCCCCAGCCTTCTGAAGAAAATCACTCGTTTTTCTTTTCTGTTGACAGGGAAGCTGGACTGGAGACACCCCTTGTACTGGCTCGTTTGTGTGTGTTGTATATGTTTGTCTAGTTTTAGTAACTTTATGGGGGAGACTCTTCTGGGCGTGCTGGCATTTCCCCCCCATAGGGGACACTCTCTGGAGCAAGGAAATCACCCAGACTTAGATGATGGCTTTTTGTCAGGCCTGCTACTCCTTCAAGGAAGTCTGGCCTGGGAATGTCACGAATTCTCATGACTCATATGCATCTAATTTCCAAGGAGAATGCCATCAGGGAAAAAACAAAGTAAAACCAAGTTAATGTGTAATAAACATTATCCAATAGGTTTTGGTATAAAAATATGATTGTCTTTATTGTTCACGTCTGGAACACTTTTGCCTCTTAAAAACTAGTGAAGTGTAGACGTGAGAACTGTTTCTATTGACTGTGGCTCTACCTCTTTTCTTCCAGATCTTTAGGCAATTACTTCATCTTTCTAGTTTTTTCTTAATCTGACAAATAAAAGACATGCAATAATTAATGTATAAAATATTATACACTCACCAAATTCCCAACACCAAAACATAATTTCAAAAACCCTAAGAATCTTTAGAATTTTTTTTTTTTTTGGAAGCTGGAAGAAATCTCATTCAAACGGCAGCAGCGACATCTAGTGACCACTATGCTCAATAACAGTGATGAAGTGGGGGAATAGTTTACTGAGCAGTGGGTTTTTGGAGGAGACGTGGTTTTTCTAATAAATCTTGATTGGCAAAC